TGGAATTTTTGTCCGTTCAAAAAATTTTTTAGGGATCGGAAAAAATGATAATTATTTGGAGCTAGTTTGGGACTATATGAAGGGTGCAGCAAAACATCTCAGCCTACCTCCAATAGTTTTTGTCCAGTGGCTAAAGATGGGGAGGGCCTGGCATTATCGTGGTGAAAGACAATTTCTTTGCTATTGGCTAGCTATGGTCGTTTTTCTTGGATGGTATCATTTAAATTTGTCAATTGTCGAATGTAAACCTCTGAATTTATAGTCTGACTTCGTGGCAGCAGCTCAAGCTTAACTATGCCTTTGTAATCCCACTAAAATGATAACAATAACTTTTTTGGTGAATGTCAGCCTTAGAAGTTCTAAGGTGCTTGTTTCCTTGCCTAGACCAGGATCTTTTTCTCAAAGGGTCATCATAAACAACCTACTTTTCATCTCCGGTGACCATTCTTTCAAAAAAGGGTCATTCGCATTGCATTTAAGAAGCATATCGCAAAGACCCATCAAGCTTCTTTTGGTACCCAAGACGCCGCAGACGGTTTTTGACGCACGTATGTGACTCATCTAGCTTCTTTACAATGTCCTTAGTCGAACTATGCCGATCATAATCAATGAGGGCCTTTATTTGCTCATCATTAACCTCCAATGGACGCCCGGAGCACTCCTCATTTTTCAAAGGAAAATCTCCAGAACGGAATTTCGCAAACCAGTTTTGACACTGCCGTTCTATTGAGGCTTCATCACCCTACACGGCCCACAACTTTTTATTGGCTTGTGAAGCATTAAGACCCTTTCAGAAATAAAAAAGCAAAATATGAAGGAAATGCTCGCTTTGGCTCCCCATGTATAAATGTCTTTTGCTCGCGCACTATTTAAGAGTTCAATGAAATTTTGGTACTGAATGTTACAGAAGGAACCAAGTAATAACATATCAAAAGTTCATGTTTGTACATAAACGTAAAAGTACTCAAAAAACCGGACAAACTATCTGTTGGTAAAATACGCAGTTACTTACTGGCCAACCCAATAATTAACATAAAACGAATTATTTAACGAAAATATTCATGTATTGGCTACGTTAAAAGCTTCCATATTTTTATAAGTTCCACGTACATTTTTCTAATGACACTTTATTCATCATTGATATAATTAAGTTTAAATTGATGTCTATGGTTGTTCACATATTACTTTTATTTTCACAATTTCCCATTGTGAGTTATTTTTCCTGTATTAATTTCAAATAAAAATCGTAAAATTTGTTTTTAAAGAAATTACAAAATGCACGGGAGAGTCAAAATAAGAACGACAGAAGAACAAAAAGAAATCGCAAGGCAAGAGAAACAGAAAAAGGCAATAGAATTTAAAAAAATAATGAATCAAATATTAGAAAAACGTTTTTCACAAATGCACGACGAAGAAGGTTTAAATCTCACCGGTAATTTATTACTGGAAATTCGGATATAATAACATTATGGAATTATAGAAGAGAAATATTTTTGTCTTTGAAAAACGACGAGGATTTGGAAAGTTATCAAAAACTATTGGAAAAAGATTTACAATTGACAGAACAGTGCCTGAGAGTAAATCCAAAATCCTATGGTAGTTGGCATCATAGAATATGAATATTGGACAATTTACCCAAACCTGATTGGAACAAAGAATTAAACCTTTGCACAAAATATCTTCAATTAGACGAAAGAAATTTTCACTGTTGAGATTATCGTAGGATAGTCGCAGAAAGATCAAATGTTTCTCATTTATCTGAATATGAATTCACTCTAACATGAATACTGTATTAAATTATGTATGTATATGTACATGTGTAATTATGATACCTCGGGAATGCCTCCCACATGGTTGAGGGGAGTATCCCAATTGGGTGGAGTGGATCTCTGCAACGGCCTATGCCAGAGGGGAATCTGCTCTCATCTTTGCGAGTTCGGATTTGATGATTCCAGCTTTGAGAGAGATCAAGGATATGAGTTGGTACAGGGAGGCAGGAAAATCACCCTAATGCTGTATATGGATAACTTAAAAATTTATGCAAAAAATGAAGAGAAGTTAAATAAAATGCTAAGGACGGTACAAACTTTTTCCTCTGACATTAACATGAAATTTGGTTTGGAAAAATGTGCAAAAGTTAATATTGTCGGAGGAAAGTTAAAATGGAAGGAAAATATTGAAGACTCAGAAGAAGAACTTATTAATGAATTGGACCCTGGATCAACATACAAATATTTGGGGATTGAAGAAAATTTTGGGGTAGCCAAAATTGGACAAAAGAAGAAATCACGCACCTGGACCGAAGAACAAGGAAAATATTAACTAAGAGTGACCATAATAATAATAATTAAAATTGAATAAGTTGACATGCGTTTACATCATGTCAACTTATTAAATTAATTTTTAATAATTTTATTTAGTGATTTAGTTATAAGAAGTTATGTATGTATCAAAAGTTTTGTAATTTAGTCTAATTTATTGTAATATAATTATTTTTTTTAATATTAATTATTTGTTTTTTATTTTGTACTCCTGATTTTAAGCGAAAATCCACTGTTCCATTTTATTTTTTATTAAACCTCCTTGGATCTTATGTTTTACGGATACATCGGAAAAAAATTCGTCGATTAAAAATTAAGTTAAAAATGACCGCGAAAATCCAACGTTTACGATTTATTCTAAAGTAGGTCGACCTTGATTTCAAGGCCATTAGTTTTACATTTCAATTTTGTGAAAATTTTCATGGTCACAATTTTTCAACCAAGGTCGACCTTGTTTACTGTTTACGCTAAGTAGGACGACCTTGTATATTTTACCTGGCACACATTTTATTTTAAGCGGGAATTTTTTTGAATTATTTTACATTATACCTCCTTGGATCTCATGTTTTTCTGATTCATCAGATTAAATTTTTCACTAAAGAAAGGTAGAAGGGTAGAAACGTGGAGTATATGTTGAAAAAGCTCCGACAAACATCAGGACGAATTGTCGTAATAATAATAATAATAAGCGGCATACCAGAATGCCATAATTGTAGTGGGAAAATACATAGAATCCCATCAAGAAGACCCTATCTTAGCCCAAGTTATACATACGGAAAAAAAAATTACAAAAAAAGGCGTACTGAAAAGAGTAAAACAAATCGTCAAAGAAAATAAAAAAAACGAGATAATGGAAGAAGGGCAACTTGCAACTTATGATAGCAAAGCTCAATCTCAGAAGAAATTATGTCAATATCTCCATTGGAGCATATGCCGAAAATATGGAATGAATGGATTACCCAAGGAGTGGTACAACCACATTCCAAGCCCGGTTACGACAGCAGGTCCATGCACAGTTCTATATGATCAACAAATCCACACTGACAGAACTGTGCCAGCTAACAAACCGGATTTCATCCTCAGTATAATGCGGGAAAATGGTGTAAGTTAATTGAGGTATCCGTGCCGGCAGAAAAAAACATCACAACCAAAGAAGCAGACAAAAAGCTGAAGTACAGAAATTTAGAAATTGAAATAGCCAGGTTGGGGGGAACGAAAACAGAAACTATTCCGGTCATCGTGGAAGCACTGGGAGCCATGCCATTGTAATTCGATCGACCGAAGCAAATAATTTTTCCTGAAAATTTATTTTATTAATTTACTGATTTTTTTTTTTTTAAATGATAATAATAAAAATTACGCATTAAAAAAAAATAAAAGAAAAAAAATTTGATATAGTATAAATTGTAATGTATTTATACAAATATAACCTGGTAAGGTGTATATAAATATACACCTGATTTTAAATGTACACCTCCTTTTTCTTATGTTTTTCTGATACATCTTAATGTATTTTACCATTCAAAATTGTTGTAAAAAAATTAAAATTTTGTATCTTTTTTTACCGGAGAGGGGAGACTGAAATGTAGGTTATACTCTCATGAGCATCTCCTCCCCTCTTCATATAAGCCACGCTATTGCGACATGCCCAGGAGTTTTAGTGGGTATGGTTCCCGATAAGGCTTTCTTTAAATCCATACCGAGCCCCACACTCTCTCTTTTCAAAGGAAAGGGTTAGTGCGTAACCGCATTTCTCCTGGGTCATCAAAAAAGAAAGAAATGCATTTCGCACCAACCTCCCCCTTCGGTTCGGCTTCACTCTTTACAATGTTTGCAACCCTATTAAGTATTATGACGATCGATGATGATGATGATGATGATGACGATGACGATCGATGATGACGATGATGATGATGATGACGATCGATGATGATGATGACGATCGATGATGATGATGATGTACAAAAAAATTCACTCATTCATTCATTCATTAGATTCGAACTTTCTTCGTCTCCGCTTACCCGATTGTAGGCGGCGGATCCCAAGTATCTCACGCTCACGTTTACGGTTCTCCTTCCTCCAGATAACCGTTTCCGCGAAGCGCGAGATCGCGTACTACTCCCTGGGACCGCAAAGGATACCCTCCATTAGTCCCCTGACGTCCGCAATCATTTTTTTAAAACGTGTTCCTATTAACCAATTTCTTCCCCCCCCCCCTCTTTCTCTCTTTCTCTCACTTTACCACATTTTCTACTTAATTCGATGCTTTTAAAAAATTTTTAAATATTTAAATTGTAAATTGTGTAGATTTATGTTTTTCATTAGGGGTGTACAAAATTATCAAATTTCTTTCTTTTTTTTAAGGGATGTGCAAAATTCAATTTAAAAAAAAAGTGCGTTAATTTCTACACTCTTTCCCAAAGGGGTGTACAAAGTTTTTTTCCTCCTTCATTTTTTATATAATAATTTTCCCATTATTGATAAGGGAGGGAAAAATAATAATAATAAAAAATAAACCAAAAATAATATATTCATTTCGATTTATTTTTTTTTATTATTATTTTCATAATTATTATTATTATTATCGTTAATTAATTTATTTATTTTATTTGCTTAATCGTACGAATTGGACAATAGTAGTAGTTTCGACGAGAGAGAGAGACACACACTTTTCTCCGGTTAAAATATGTCTTCTGCATTTTCTAATACGCAACCGCTGTATGCCAAATCCCAATAATGTTCTACTCCGTGTTTTTTCAAATGTTCTCTTGCTAATTTTTCCGTTGGACAAACTTTAAATTTGACGTCGTGAAAATTTCTTTGTTTAACGGTACCCTGAAATAATTATCATTATCATTATTATTTATTTTTTTCCGAGTGAATGAAAAACCCACGCGACGACCACGTGTCAAGTTTACACGCATTTGTAATTACCACATCTTACCTTCCAGACTAAAACGCATTTATTTGGAATTTCGTTATCCTCGTTACTTTTTATCAAATCTTCGTCCCATTTGATTCTCTGCATCATCAACCTGTAAAAAAAAATTTTGAATTAAAAATCCTTTTCCCTGACGTTTCAATGATTGATTTTCATCCTCCTCCTCCTCCTCCTTTTACTCTTTCTCACCTGTTGTATTTGTTTATTTGTTTCGGGCCCCCCTCGACTATTATTATGTTACAATCTTTGAATAAAAGTATGCAACCGGTTAAAAATAATTGTTTTGCATTTGTTTCCACTTTGAATTTCTTCGATGGATTCGTGAGTTCGGATATTCTGCAATTGATAATAATAATAATAACAATTCTGATTAATGAAGGAAAAGGATCAATTTTTTTGCATTTGAACGTACCTGTACACGACGACGTGAACTCCCGACGACGTATCCTCTTTTAATTTTCTCATTTTTTTCTCTTTCCTTTGCTTCGACGTTAATTTTCTTAACGCGTTCGCTTCTTCGTGTGCTTTCTGCCTTTTAGCCATTTGAGCTCGAACTTGAGCTTCTATTTTCGTAGGATCTTGAACGGCTTCATTTCCCAAAACTCTCATTAAATTTGATATCCTTAACTGGAACAAAAAACAAAAAAAGATGAAAATATTCATCATTTTCAATATCGAATAGTTAATAAAAAAAATTAAAATGTAAACCTTTGGCTCAGGTGGAGGTTCTAAACCTAAACGAATTTTTTCCTGTTCTTCTTTCCACGCTTCTCTCCTATTTTGTCTCCTTAATTTTTTCCTTTCTTTTTTTGTTAAAAAAACTGGTAAAAATGCCGATTTACTAGATTCAGCTGAAACAAAACCCAAACAAAATGTTTTTTTGAATGTTTTTAAAAAAACAAACAAACAAATGGAAAAATTTGACTTATAATAATTACATGGAGGTTTCATTTGTGTCGGATGTTCAACCAAATTCGATATGGCATCTTCCCTTATTGATAATTTTCCATCGACTGAATATTTGTCACCGTTCATGACGACCATGTCCCACCATTCGACATCAGGTACATGATCTTCCGTTGCAGGTGTTTTAGGTGCTATCAATGCTAATTTAGCAGCAGAACTGATCCCTGTTTTTTTAGCTATTTGAAATATTTCATCTTGTAATTTTTCTAATTGAGCCTATGTAAAAAAAAATTAATAAATAAATTTAAGTTCGATAAACAAATAAAATCAATATTTTAAATTCGATTAAAATAGTCAAACCTTCATTCTCATTCTTTCTGCCATTTGCTGAAATTTTCCAGGTTCGTGAAACCTTAGTGATCTTTTATTTCTTATCGTAGGTTTTGCCGTTATTCTAGGATCAAAATATTGAGCTTCTGCTAATGCATCGACAGATTGTTGATTTAATTGAGCTTTAAATTCTTCTCTTTTTTTCGCTCTGATGTTTGCCTGGAAAATATTATTATTTCAGGTATATGCACTTTTGCATCATCGATAAAAATTTTGAGTTGAGTTTACCTTCAGTGTTGGTGTGAATTGTGTCAGTTGAACTTCTTTTCCAGTTATATCTACTGTTCTTCCTTGACTATCTAAAATCAACGGCGTTGGCTTATCTACAATGGAAGCATTTGCACTTGCTAAAACCCCCGATAACACACTCGAAGCAAATTTTGATTTAATGTTTGCCTGAAATGATTTCATGTTGTTATGTTAAATCATTATACTTAACCTAAAAACGAAAACAAAACGTTTTCTATTATTAATATTATTTACCTGGAGTTGTGCTATACGACTAGCCGTATCTTGGGGTATTAAACCCATCGCGGGGGGCCTTATCTGTGGAGTTCCTAACATTTTCATTATGTTAGCCCCAACTCCAGGAGTTGGAGGAGCATTCATCGTTTTCATTAAACACTTCGCTTGAACACAATCTAATAATCTATGGTTGCATCGTTTCAACAAAACAAACCATAGAGGTAAACAATAATAAGTGTTGTTCTAAACAACGAATTTAAACGAATAAAAAACTTTTTAAATTCTAACGTTCAATTTTTTTTTTTTATTTTATTAAATTAACGTAAAAAAATAAAAAAAAATTCAAATCGCAAGAAAAATAAATAAATCAAAATTCAATTTCGACGATAACGTTTAAACACCCTATGAAAAAACGGTAGTAGAACGTGGAATCAGGCATCACTAATTCCACTTTTAAACGTTATTCGAACCAATTGAAATTTCAAATGTCAAATTTTAACCATCTCTGTGGAAATATTTTTAAAAAACAAAACGAAAAAAAAAATACAAAATCAAAATTTTATTTTATTTTTTATTTCGTTACATAACAACAACAACGACTTCTCACCATTTTCTTTTTTTATATTTTTTAAAACGATATTTCAACAATTTCACGACGGTTTTAAATTGTCCAGATCGATTTTTAAATACTTGCAAAGCGGAAAAAATAAAAATTTTAACCGATTCGTCATCGTCATCGCCGCTAATATAATTAAACTTTAAAAAAAATTTTTTAATTTTATTAAACGATTTGATTAACATTTTAAAAACGTACAATTCGTTTTTATCGTTTTTAGGATATAAATAATCGGTTAATAAAACGGTTTTAACGGATTGCATAATGAAAGCGTTACGCATTATAATTCTCATGGCGTTCGAATCATTGCAACCTATCAAACCGGGTGATAATTTTAAAACGTTCGTTTCCGCGAGTTTCCTTTTTAAAAATTCATTTTTATCGTAAATGAAACCGTTGAACGTATCCCGTAATTTAATTCGCGATAATAAATCCGTGTTTTTATATTTCCCATAATCCGGTTTAACGGTCATCGTTGAAAAATTAAACGCGAAACCGTAATAATTTATTTCGTTAACGTTCGACGCGTTCGTAACGTTCGTTTTTAATTTTTCAAAATTGAATTTCACGTTGTACTCCCGTATTCCCCTTTTGACTATTTTATAAAATTCTATTGATTTTTTCAAACACGGAGAAACGAATAAATAATCGTCGACGTAACGGATCAATACGGTATCGTCACATTTCGTCAATTTATCAAATTTAATTTTATCCATGTATGAATAATATAAATCGCAAAGATGATATGAAAATTTACCTGAATTTCCCTGCGTCAATCCCTTCGTAACCTTGTATAATTTACCATTTACGTAAATCCTTTGAAATTGTACCATTTGCCTTATGACGTTTTCAAATTCTCCCGTGTGAAATTCTTTCAATTTTCCATTCTCGTTACGATCCGTGCAATTAATTAATATCGTATTATTTTTGGGAATCCCATCGAAACTGTAACGTTTTCGTAAAAATAATTTTTTATTATTCGCCATTTTCCATTCCGTTATTTCGTACAATTGTACTCGTTCTTTAAATTTCTCTCTCGAGTTTTCCCTGATAATATCAAATAATTTATCGTGTAATATCGAATCGAATGCTTCCGTCACATCCGCTTTTACAAAATACAAATCACCTGTAATCATATATATAATAATAATAATAATAATATGGAGCAAAACTTCAACCGAATCCCGATTACCATTCTTACCGTATTCCTTTTTTAAATTAATAATTTTTTTCCAGTTTTTCTCCAGTGTGAAATCAGCCGACGTCGTTTTCATACCCGTACTAACTTTTCCATTTAAATATTCCAGAAATAATTTCGTCAAATATATTTTATCCATTCTTTCCCTATTTCTTTCTTCGAATTTTTCACTTAAACCATCGCATTCTCGACAATAATTTAAATGAATTGTTTTTTTTTTATTAGGTATGTTAGTTATTATTCTCATACCTTTAAATAAAAAATCATTTTTTGGTAAAAATCTTAAAATGGCCGGGGGTTGTTTAAATTCCGTCGAGTCCGACATGAAAATTTTTGATTTTTTTTTTAAATTTATTCCATCGATGACTCCACTATCCATCCATTTTCTTTCTATCGTGAATAAATCATCATCCCATCTTCTATATAATTTTAAATTTTTATTAACAATTAATTTATTTAAATATTCATTTGATTTTTTCATCATTATTTTCTTATTGTAAAATCTTAAACCGTAACCGGAAGTACCCGTTTCAGTTACGTAAAAATTATTTTTTATTATGACAAATAAATAATGAAAGATGATGAATTTTAGAGTTTTTATTAACATTACGTTTTCGATTTCGTCATTATTCATTTCTTTACACCATTGTAAATTTTTTTTACATTTTGTTAACATTTGATAAAAACCAAACAAATTTAAATTTTCACCAGAAGACATTTTGAAAATTTTAATTATTTCATTAAAAAATTTCTTTCTTAAATTATTATTAGAACCGAAAAAATAAAATGGTATAACTTTTCTTATTATATCAATCAAATATGTAAAAATTATTTTTTTAGGTATTGGAAATGATTTGTCGTTTGTAGTAGCAGCAGCAGCAGCAGCAGCAGCAGCATTTTTACCTGATAATAAAAACAAAGTTGTAATTGGTAATAATAATAATAATAATATGAAACAGAAAATTTATGCATCAACTGACAATTTTTTAAATGTTTTTTAAGTATTCTTCCATAACCATTATATCTATTAATTTTATTATGATTATTTAAGAAGGTAAATAAAAAATTTTTATATTGCATCCAGTTCGAACTTTGTTCCATCATTAATGTCTGAATTTTTTTACTCGTTTTCGTTTTTAAATTTATAATAAAATCCAAAAGTTTTTTGTCATCATTATATGATAAAATGTGATTTTCAGGCCATTGAGATTTAGGCACCATGTCATATAAAATACATTTCAAATTAAATATTTCTTGTTCTGGACACTTTTCATTTCTTGGTAAATTAAAATATGGTTTGGTATTTTTTATCGAATGTTCTAAAGACTTGAAAGAAATCGGTTTAAAATTTTCTTTGGTATCTGAAAAATGAATTTAAAAAAAAAAAAATTAAAATTAATATGTAATATATATTTTTGGGGGGGAAAAAAACCCAATAATAACAAACCAAAGAAAAATTTTTTTCCATTTTCTTTCGATTGTATTTCTAAATATTTATAATTGTTATCGATCATCGTTTGACATTCGGAATGATTTTTATTAATGTTTGAATTGTTAAATTTTTTGTGTAAAGTTTCATGTAAATTATTCCCATTATTTTTATTCGATTTTATTATATCATTTACTTCTTTATGATCGACGATAACTAAATAAGCATTTATTCCATAATCATAAAATAAATAACATTGAGTTAAAATATAATTTCTTAAACATTTATCAAACTCTCTATAAATACAATTAAAAATTGATGTGATTTTGAACTTGAAAATTCCATTTAATAAATGACATCTTTTTTTAAACGCACTCAATAATTCATCATAACTTTTATCGTAATTATAATTGTTAATATTGTCAAACCACGATTTTTCTTTGTGACAAATAATTATTTTGTCAAAATTATTTTCACTACAAGAAACATTATTACAAAACCTTAAAGAAAATTCTTTTAAACTTTCAACGTCGTGAAATCCAGAAATTTTTAAAATTAAGTACATTATAATAAAAATGAATTAAATTATTTACAATTTTTAAAACAATAATTCAAATCAATCAATAGATATTAAATAAAATCAACAACAAAAAAATTAATAAAAATTAAACCCTCACACTTGTGTTACTTTCAAACATTTTTCGAACATACAAAAAATAAGAACGTTTGAGAGGGGAAAAAGTTTTGCCAACGTTATTTGTGACGTCAAATTTTTTTTAACCAATCAATATCGAGTATTTTATTTTTAACGGAAAAAAAAATTTTTTGAAAAATTAATAACCGTTTAAAAAAAAAATTACAAAGGAAATGATTGTTATAAAAAACAATAATTCATTTTTCAATTAATGTAACAGACACGATATTAATAATACTAATAAATAATCTATTTATAAACCCTATAATAAGAAAAAATAATAAATTTCTTTTATCCGTAATTTTATCGGTACGTAAGCAAAAAAAAAAAAACACATGAGGTTCAAGAAAAAATTTTAAATAAATATTAATAAAAATTTATTAAAACAATATGGGGGGGAAACATATACATACATAAATCGAGATAAGAAAAATAAGCCTGCGCTTTTGTTAAAACGTGGGCGAATTGAAAAAAAAAAAAAAAAGAGTTTATTGATTGGTCATGTTAACCAGGCACGCGCATAATTTTTTTTTTTTTTTTTTTTATTATTGATTCTCACATAAAATATTTTATTTTAAATATATATATTTAAAAAAAAAAAAAAAATTTTTTAAATCAAAAGTTTTTCGTTCAAAAGTATAAAAAATATATTTGTATTTTTTTTTTTTTTAAATTTTTTACATATAAATGCATGAAAAATATAAAAAGGAAATTGATAAAAAGTAAATAAACAAATAAGTTTGATAAGGATACAGTTAGAATAAGAAGGTAAAAAAAAAAAAAATGGAAAGGTTCGGTGAAGGAAATTATGATTACGGTGGAGGATATGGTCAACAAAGTGGCAGTAGCGAATCATACAATCAAGGAGGATACATGACGAGACAAATGAGTGCCGGTGTAAAACCTCCGAGGCCAATGGTCGATCCTAACGAAACGGGAGAAGTTGATCCAGAAAAATATGGTCCAGCTAAAGATGCCACACATAAAATCAGAGGAAAATCAGATGTTTTAGAATTTTTATTTGGTTCCGTCGACCAAGAACTACTCATGGTCAAAACATTTTATTTTTTTTTCTATTCTGCTTTTGGCTCATTATTTCCCCTGATGGGAGTTTATTTTAAACAAATGGGTATGAATGCCGGTCATTGCGGTTTACTCATCGGTACCAGACCATTCGTTGAATTTTTATCAGCACCTTTTTGGGGAAGTTATGCAGATAGGTAATTACCTCTTCCTCCTTCTTATTTGTCTACCTGAAAAGCAACAATAATATGGATTTCTTTCAAGGTGGCAAAAAGGTAAAACGCTTTTGTTAACATCACTTGCTTGCTGGATCGTTTTTACTCTACCCATCGGATTCATACAACCTCCTGCAACGTCTTGCATGGAAAGGAAAAACGATGAATATACTCTTAAGGTTCCAGAAGTGACACGTCCTGGTTTATTAAAAAGAGAAATTCATCTCGATTCATACGATTTTAATTTTATTCCAAATGATAATCTCGATGTTCCTCACATAGTTAATAAACGATCCATCAGACCGATAGCTAACAAATCACCTGTTGAAGTAGGTTTGCTTATACCTAATTATAACGAAAAAGAACATAAAGATTTAGTTTTACCATCTTTTAGTTCGATCGTTTATCGCACGCAGGTAAAAAATAAAAACATGGCGTACATATTTATTTGAAAGTTTTGTAAATTCTAAATGAAAATTGTTTCCTTTTTAGGATATTCAAAAAGCATTCTTTTTGCTTCTTTTATTAGTCGTAATAGGAGAATTTTTCAGTGCTCCAGCGATAACATTAGCAGATTCAGCTGTCATAACATTGCTGGGGGAAGATGCTGACCGTTACGGACATCAAAGAATGTTTGGGTCTTTGGGATGGGGTTTGGCTATGTTTTTTGTCGGTATTGCATTGGATCATTCGACTTCTTTTCCCGATCATCCCTGCGGTCCTACACCGATGGAAAAAAATTACACAATTTGTTTTGCTACGTTTAGTGTTTTAATGGGAGCCGCATTGATAACGGCAACTCAAATTAATTTCAAGTATGAAGATCCACCCGAACCGACAATCGAAAAACCTCCAGTTTCAATAACACAAGAAGATACTTTACAAAATCAACTTGGACAACAGTTAGGATTGCCAAATTTAAATACACCGAATATCAATGCTCAGCCAGCACAGCCAGCACCTAATATTGGACAAGTACCTTAATTATTACCTTGATTATGAAGCATTTATGTTCTTTTTCTTCTTGCTGTCATTGTTTTTTTGTTCTTTTTTGCAGACGAAAATGTTTGCACAAACAACAAGAGAAATGCCAGAATGGGTTACGGTACTGAAACAATTTAAAAATTTAAAATGTGCCTCTTTTCTTTTTGTTGCGTGGTTTATGGGTTTTGGTATCGGTTTGATTTTCACGTTTTTGTTTTGGCACTTACAGGTACTTTTGTTTTTTTCATTATACCTTTTCGTTTGATTTTTATAAAAGCTTAAACACTTCTTACCGTTAAATGTTTTAGGATTATGGCGGTTCTCCAACTTTATTCGGAGTGGCATCAGTAATAAATCACATATCGGAAATTTTTGCTTATTTCTTCAGTTTTCGATTAATAACTCAAATGGGTCACGTTAAGGTATTATGCCTTGGCCTCCTTGGAAACGTTGTAAGATTTTTATACATTTCTTGGTTGACAAATCCATGGTGGGTTTTACCATTTGAATTCATGCAAGGTAACAATTACATAATGTTTGTATTGCTCTTGGTTTTTTTATAAGTTTTTCTTTTAATATTAATATAAATAATTTTTAAGGTATAACCCATGCCGCTGTTTGGGCAGCTTGTTGTTCCTACATAGCCCATAATACTCCTCATCATTTGAGATCATCAGCGCAGGGAGTTTTGCAAGGTATCCATCACGGTTTGGGTCGTGGATGCGGTGCTGTGATCGGTGGAATCTTAGTAAATTACTGCGGTAAAAACAAAAATTTATTAAGTTTGCATAAAATTGTACCTGACGTGAACATAATACGTGAATTTATGTACAGGAAGTACAAATACCTTCCGTGGTTACGGTTTTGCATGTGCTTTGATACTCGGAGGATTTGTCTTCATTAACTTTTATCATAAAGATGTTGGATTCGTATCGGATCTTCCTCCAACTGAAGATCCACATCAGGTATAAATGTTTGTTCAGATGTGGATTGTCCATGCAAAAACTTGTATCTTCATTAACGATTTAAATTACAGGTAGCAGAAGAAACGTCCCATCTTGCTCCTCACGGAGTTCCAAGTAATCCAATTCCAAGAGCATTGTCAAGCACTAGAATCCACGATTTAGGAAACGATGAACAAAGTACTTACGGATCAACTTATCAAACGGCTGATGGTAGTTTAGGAATACCAGGACAAATGGGTGGTAAGTAAAATACTTTTCCTCCTTCTCATAAAAACGTACAATTAACTAAAAAAAAAAAAAAAAACAGGTGGCGGAAATCCATTTCGACAAAATGCACTGAATACAAATTATAAATTATCTAAACTTAAAGAAGAAAGAGAAAACGACGAAGAAGAAAAAGAAAAAGATTTACACGAACAAAAAACAACAATTCAAAATAAATACGCTTATCTTTTAAATAAAAACGCTTACAATTGTTTAAATGAAAAAGATGACGCGAAAAATTACAAAGGAAAAATAAATACCGAAGAAGAGCGAATACGTCGCCATTTTCAAATCTACAACGATATACTCACAGCAGCCGATAGACATAAAGTGACGTCATCACAAATTTCAATGGATAGTACTTAAACGCGTTAATAACCGTTAATTACTTCCCGCCATTTTGAATTTACGTCATCGTTTTAAACACGTATATATATATTTATTTATTAATTTTAATATAAAGAAAAATATCATTAAAACCTAATCAGGGTATTAAAACAACCCGCAATTAAAATCTTTTCTTAAACTATTATTATTACCCTTATTATATTTCTTTTTAAATATATTTTAATATTCGACTTATCACTTATGAAAGTAAACTAATATGTAAAAAATTTTCATTATCACTCAACACACAATAAGTATAAAAAAAAAACGACTGTAAAATTTATTATTATTATTATTATCATTATTATTTTATTAATTATTAACGAATTAAAATAATTATTAAAATATTAGATATCAACAAATACATATATATATATATATATATATATATATATATATATATATATATATATATATATATATATATATATACATGTAAACGTGTACGTGTTGTTGTAATTTATTTTATTTTTTAATATACATACATACATACATACATAAAATTTTAGAATAAATAAATAAATAAAAATGTGATATGAAAAAATAAATATTAATAAAATTATTAACATAGTTGTAATAATCATATTATTAAAAAAAAATAAAAACACAATCGTTGTATTATTTAACATAATTGTTTAAATATCAAATTGAAAAATAATAAAAATGATTATATATTAAACTAATTATTATTATTATTATTATTATTATTATTATTATTATTATTATTATTATTAATTAGGTGTCATTAGGAGCGATAAAAAAATATTACATGTAAACATACAAATATTATGTAAAAATTATGTAAATAATAATAATGATTTTCAAATTATTTATATACATATAAGAAATGTTGCTTATGATGATATTATATTTTATTTACTATTTATTATTATTATTATTATTTGGAGAAAAAAAATTTGTTTTTATGCAAACCTTTTTAAGGTAGTAGCAAGAAAGATACAGAGAGTGGGCCAACAACATAAAGAAAACAAAAAATAAATAAATAAAATGTAAATTGATTAAATATATTTAAAATTAAAAAAGTATTATTATTATTATTTATTTCAGATTTAATTAATATAAATTAATGTAACGCAAAAAAAAAAAAAAAAAAAAAAAATTAAAATCGCTCTTTTTACCGGTACATATCATTGAGTGTGATTATAATAAGAAGAAATTATTATTATTATTATTATTATTATTTATTTTTTATTTAAAACCGTTAAAACGTGAGAATTTTTTAAACAAATAATTTTTTTTTTTTTTAAATAAAATTTGATTCTTAACAACAACGCACACGTTTGTTTGTTTGTTTAAATTAAAATTAATTATTATTATTATTATTTTATTTTATTTAATTTAATATAAAATTATTATTTAATAAGAAATTCTTGCGTGATAAGAGTTATCAAGTGACGGGTTTCATTTGAATTTTAATAAAAATATTTTAATATAATAAATAAATGGTAATTTGTTAAATAAATATTAAATATATTTACTTACGATTAATAATTTCCTTATTAATTAATTAATTAATTATAAACAAAATAAAATTAATTGTTATTTAGCTTATTATTATTATTATTATTATTATTAATATATATTATTATTTATGATAGCACACAATATAATTAAATAAGCACACTAAATCAAATAACAAAAAAAATTGTTATACGTGTTTAATAATATAGTATATATATATATATAATAAAAATGCATTAATTTAAAATAATTTTTTTTTTATTTAATATTTATCCTATCGATTAATAAATTTTATTAAAATATACTTATTTACCTCCCCCCCTCCCTCCCCATTTGCAACATACAAATTTTAATCATTATTATTAAAACTATTTATGCCTCCACCCTATTATGTAGTTGTATATACACATTGTGTATTTATTTTTCCATATCCGTTTGGAATTGTTTAGTGTTTCCTGTTAGATTAACTATTTTGTTAATATGATAATATCCCTATATTACTACAGATACTACTCTAGATTACTGTTTGTTAGTATTATAATATCCCCCCCAAATAAGAGGGAAGTGGAACAGATACATCATACATACCTTAATCAAATATGTCCTTATTTCGATCCATTGATTGTTTGTTTTTATAAATATTGCACATCCAAACTGTAGAACCAAACAAAAAAAATACGTTCCATCTTAGGTATATTTAACAGTAGTGTGTTATGATATGATCCTGACACTATCTCTAGTCTAACTAAATCCTGTTGACTTGTAGTTGTTGAGAACTTAAAACTAAATTACTACAAGCCCAAATGCAACTTGGTATACACTAAAAAGAATACAAAAACAATATAAAATTCAAATATAAGTAGAAATTAATGGTATTCGATCTACCTAATACATACTGGTTGGTTATGAAGTGAAGTTCCCAATCTGTATCTCTATCTTTGACTGACTGACTCTGGCTGTGTAGTTTTGAGAGTCGCCATTAACATGTAGATCAAAACAATGAATCCATTAATCTGTTATGGTACTGTTGCAACTTTGCTTATCTGTAAAAGAATGAATGAGGGTTATTGTTTCATTTCCACATTTTAATTTAGAGAACGTGATACTAGAATAAATAAACGTAAAAATAAAAAAACATATGCAATAAATAATGTGGAAAGCCCCCCTCCCCCCCAAGTGGCTAACCGGGAACTCAACAATTGTATGAATTCTAAAATCGTTTAAATTATAATTATGTTCAACCTGTTTTTTAAAAAATGAGAAAATAATTTGGGTTAAAAACTATATCAAAACTTTTAACGGAAATTTATTTCTTAATTTATTAACGGATGCGGTTTCCTTTATTTTTCTTTAACCAAAATGTCCAGACATCATGTTAAAGCATTATTGGAAAAGCATAAATTGAATTTAATCTAATTTCATTTAGATTTCTTTGTCGCCTAACCATAAATTCAAAAAAAAAAGAATTCATAATCCAAAATGTCGTTTTAAACATTGTAACTAATAGTGAGTAGCAGAAGACGAGTTATCAGTGAAATTAAATCTGAAGTTAGAGTAATTTAATACTTTTGTAAGTTGTAATATTAAGTATTAATTTTCACTTTTATTTATCTGTGTTTGTTATCGTTTTATTAAAAATTCATTTAAATTATTATAAAGTATAAGCAAAATTCATTTTATTCTAAGTAACGAATCGTAAAGTGGAATCAAAACGAATCGAATGAAATCGTAATTAAAAAAAATTTGACACAATCTTTAGGATTTTGTTTTTATCATAACAGTAAAATCACTTTTTAAAGCGTGTGTGACTAAAAAAAAAAAGAAATCAAGAAACTTGGATTTCATTTAAGTACTTATTATTATTATTATTTTTTAAAAATGTCGGAATGTTACTCACATCGGTCAAAACTCATTTAAAAAATCTTCAGATTTTCTCATTAAACTTACTCTGGTTATTTTTTCCGGTGATTCAAAGCAATTAATCGATTTTATAACTGATTTTGAGAGTGAAATGAATTTTTTTTCTCATATTCTTTATTTTTATTCGTTTATTCTAGAGCACAAATTTCAAAATATGATTTCGTGTCAATTACGACGACCTTAAACGTAAAAACTAATTGTCTTGTACCACGACAAAAACCGTTAATTACAACTAACCGAAGTTCTTTCCAAGTGTAAACAACAAAGATTTAAACGATTAAACTTTACAAGAAATCATTCAAAAGTAAGCATTAAAAATAATCCGAAATAAGAAATATTGTGGTGTTTATCAAAAAAAAATAATGATAAATCAATTGATTGTAATTGTAAAATAAAAATAATATCTAAACCGTTACCAAGTTCTTCTTTTTTTTTGTGTTAAAATCTCAACACTTATTAGAGGATTATTATCTAAGAGAAAAGAACAACAAAAAAGGTAAAAATTTTTTTTAAAAAAACAACAAATCCTTACCTAATAATGAACACAACTGAAAAATTTTTTAGATAAAAGACTCAGTTGTAACATCTTGTTCAAAAATTTACCTGAAAAGTTTTGTAAACTTTCAACCTGGCAATCAATCGAATAAAACTGAAAACAAACAAGTCACAATTAATTTCTTAGTTACCTTTAAAGAACTAAACAACTACTCAAATGTTTTTTCAATCACTCAAATCACAGTAACAAACAAACAGTAGTAACAAGTAACAAACAAAACAAACTATTGATAATCACAACACATTTTCATTGAAACATTTGATTCATGATTCAATTGATAACATGATTTCTTTTTTTTTTTATAAATTTTTTACTTATTAATAACAATAAAAATAAAAGAAAATTTTTTTTTTTTTTTAAAAAAGTAATTTATTTTAATTATAATAAATTTTTTAATTAACAATTTTCTTTTTTTTTTTATACTTGATATTGGTTTCGATTAACCAAAGAAAAAAAATTAATTAATTAATCAATCGATCAAACCTGTGATATTAATATTATTTTTCCTTATCACAAATCATTTGTCTCTTTTTTTTTAATGATTTACAAAAAAAAAAAAAAATTATTATTTTTTTTTTTCCTATCGAAGGCACAAATATTGCAGTTGTTGTTGTTGTTGTTTTTTGTTTATTGTTGTGTCGCTTTTAAAACAATTTAAAATCTCACCACTACAAAATTATTATTATTATTATTATTATTATTATTATTATTATTTACTTTATGAATTATTAAATGAAAAATGAAAACTTTATTAAAAATAATTAATTAATTAATTACTAAAAAAAATAAAAACTTCCTTCGGCGGTGAACTTTTCTTTTATTGTCGATTATATGAAAACAAATCATCGGCGCCATAATCGAAAAACAACCAAAATTAAAATAATAACAAAAACAAAAGAACTTGATTTGTTGTTGTTGTTGTTGGTGTTACGGTTGCTGTTTGTATTATGCAAACGTTTGCACGAAATTATTTATTTATTTATTTATTTTATCTCTAAATGCGTCATTCAACTCGTGTGAAATTAAAAAAAAAAAAAAAAGAATTAAAACGTTTAATTCTAAACTATTCCCACGACGAATTTTCCCAAAATTTCTAATCATAATAATGATAATAATAATAATAATAATCTAAATAAAAAATGTCTTGCGTAAAAGCGTAAAAAAAAGGCCATTAAAAATCGTTTATCTGAAAAATAAAAACAAAAAATTTAAAAAAAAAAAAAAAAGATGGCGAGTGAAAAAAAAAGAATAATAATAATAAACTTACTTACTCGTACGGAATTTTTGTTTGTTTGTTTGTTTGTTTGTTTGTAATCGTTTGTTTGTTTCGTCTTCTTCTTCATCTCCTTTTTGACGATAATCCGCGGATTAACTTATCGAACCGTAAGACGAATTATAAATAATATGTTTCAAAAGTGAATCTTCGTCCCATTCGAATTGATCCACTTCCGGTGGTTTTTTCATCCATTCACCGAGTTTGGCTTTTGAAAAACCTTTCAACAATGCCATTTTTGCCGCCTGGGGGAGGGTGGAAGGGGAAGAGAATACAAAATTTAACAAACGTTAAAATTCCCGAACAATAAAAACCTTTTTTTTTTTTTTTTTGGGGGTAAATTCTTCCGGAAAACTCACCTGAAATCCCGTAGCTTTTTCCTTACACTTGTTATACATGAGTGGTTCGTTCGTCGCGTGTATATTCGTTATGGTCGGGATTTTTCCCAAAAGTCTTAAAAACCTATAAAATAATTTACATTTCGATATGCGGGAAATGTGATCCAAATCCGTTCTTCCCGTGATCGCATTCACGATTTCAGCCTCGGGTTCTCCTACGGATAGAAAAAAAATAACGATAACGACCGTCGCCGCCATTTGTAATTTACTCCTGATTCCACGACTCCAAAACACTCACCGTAATTCCAATTGATGCTAAACGAAGGAGATTTACCCACTTGTCTCGCTTCCGTATTTATAATGGCTCCCAATTTGGGTTTGTTCAAACGATATGGCGGTGTCAAATCGTAGATTTCGTTTTCTATTCTTCCGTACACGGCTCGATACAAATGACTCGGATGAAATAAACTCCCCAATATAATGCTGTCGAGATAAACGGGTTGTATGAAATTGGAAAGGAGAGCACCTTGAACACCGACCACGTTCCATTTGGCTAATTTGTCCGAACAAGACATCGTCAAAAGTCTTTCTCCCTTTTTGGAAAAAAAAAAAAAAAAAAAAATTTCAAAAAAACAAATAATCCCACCGTTTCGTTTTACTATTATTATTATTATTATTATTATTATCAATTTTTTTTTACCACCAAAACTCCATCCCACGTTTGTATGAGATCGCTCGAATTAACGGGAATCGTACCCTCGCCCCTTTCGATTTTAGTCCTGAGTTGTCCCCGAGCTTTCCTATTCGGATGTTTGTCGAATATGCAAACGTCATGAGGAGAAAACAACCTAAAACAAGAAAACTTTTATCTCGAAGGGAGAATCAAATGATTGGAAATTTCCAATCTGGAGAATGAAGAAAATCGTACCTGGAATCTCCGCATGGAGCCGATGTTATGTACAAATGAAATTTATATTTAGGATCAATTAAAAAACCCTTGTTGGGTGATTTTAAAAATATACTATTCCTTCCCGTATCATCTTTAACGTATTTTTCTAATTCGGAATAAAAATAATTACACAAACACCGCCTGAAAAAAAAGAAGAAAAAAGGAACATTCACATTTCACGTCTCAGGTATCAATATTTGTCATATTGGAAAAAAAAAAAGGATGAAACCTTGATATGATTTCCGCATGAGAATCATTTAAAACGGATCCGTTCGCGCTTATTCTATCACCGGAAATGCATTTCGTACCCGTCGAAACCGTTAAAACTTTACAACTTTCCAAATTGTAATCTTCGCTCATTACGATTCCGGCTAAAACTCTTCGTCGCGAATATGCCGGATTATTTTTTATCAATTCTCCAAATTTCTTATTTATCAACCTTGAATTGTAAAAAAAAAAAAAAAAAATTTTAATCGTAAGAAAACATGGACGTTATGAACGCCGCCATGACGTCATCGAGTTTTCAAAAACGAAACTCACGTAGCCACGTGATCTGCAAATATTTGCGGTACGCTTTCCATTTTGGCATCCAAACAAGCGAGTGGATTCATTTTAACGGGTGAATACGATGGTAAAAAAATATTGTAACAAGATAAAAGTGCCAATCTTGCTGCTGCTGCTTTACCCAATTTCTTACTTCCGCCTGTTGCTTCGAACCTTTTAAAAAAACAAATAATAATAATAATTATTACTCAACTGTTATTTCTTAATCACCGCCTTTGTCTCCGCGTACGTGACGATCGTTAACCGGAAGTTGTTAAAATAACCGACAAATTTTTTTTTTTTTTTTTTTAAATTACAAGATAAATAAACTTTTTTAAACTAACATTTTTCCATCGACCGTTAATTGTACTTTATATTTTGTATCCGAACTTCCATCGATTGATGAAACTTCATATTTAGCATCCGAACAAAGTTCATTTAATAACATTATTGGATTTTTTTCAACAACGTTTGTCGTGGCAGACATTTTAGAATTGACTACTAAATTATTATTATTACTTCCTTTATTATTTGAATTTATCGGTGCGTTCTGTAACGAGTGAAAAAAAAAAAATTTAATATTACAGTTAATAAATAAATATTATTATTAAAAAAATAAATAAATAATTTACATTGTTAGCGGTTAAATCGAAATTACTTATTTCCTTTGAAACTGTGTCACTTGTAAAATCTAATATTTCATTCGGATTATTATTATTATTACTACTATTCGTGTTATTTAACGAAGAAGAACTATCACCACCAACACCCGATTGTTGTATACCACTGAAACAAAAAAAAATTACTCTCTTATCAAATTTGAAAATTGTGCTTTATAATGTTTTTTTGTTGACTCATAAATTCAACTTTTTTGTTTCATTCATTCACTCACTCACTCAATCATTATGTAAACAAAAACATACAAAGAAATATAATAACTATAGTTATTATTATGATTTAGTTTTCTTTTCTACAAATCCTCATCCACATCTTCGATTTCATACATAACACCACCATGTCTCCTTCTTCGTTTTTGGTTATTGTTATTCGTAACACACTCTCACTCTAGAATTACAATTTTATATTTAAGCAATATAACTTAAACTAATAGCTAATCACTTAAATAATTAAAATCACAAACACTGAACTAGATTGAATGAATGATACCAAAAGATGATGAATGGATGAAGATCATCAGAAGAAGAACCGTTTCTTCAAGGGTTCCACTTCCTTTTATATGTTTCACTCATTGTTACTCGTAAAGACTCCAACAATGAGTATAATAAAAACACAAAGAAAAGACCTTCTAGAAGGTTCCCTTCTACTTTCTATTTTGATACCCATTGTTACTATTTTCAGTTATTTATAACATCTTTAAAAATAATTTTATAGATGTGTCTATTAGCGCTTTCACTTGAAAAATTTTCAACAACATTGATTTATTCTAACCTTACATTAAAGCAATTATGAATAAAATGATGTGGATGCATGAAATTCATTTTAAAAAATAAATATTTTACAAATGAACAAACCTTAATGCCGCTTCGGCTGCATTATGTTTAGCTAATTTTTTATTTTTTCCTCTACCAATATATCTAACACCATTTATATCGACTGTGGTTGTAAATATGGGTGAGTTTCCTGGTCCATTTTGAACTGAAAATTTATATTCTAATCCTCTGTACAATTCATTTAAAACACAAATTGCACTTTTTTGCATAAGAGAAGGTATGAATGTGAATGCCTTTTTAGCCTGTATATTATTTACAGGATCTGAATCGCATGTTCTTTTTCTACTGATAAGTGTGCTTTTTGAAACATTTTCTAACATGTCATCCCTTTGCATTTTGACTGGTATAACTGCCAAAAAAAAATTTTTATAATTACAATCATGATAAGTGGTGATAAATACTGAAAATAAATAAATTTTTTCATTCTGGATTTTTCTCAAAATGAAATTTCAATGTCAAGTTCGAAGGTTTTTGTAATAAAAAAATTTCTTAAAACCATCATTTGAAACAAGTGAGAATAATAAAAAAGTTATTAAAAAATGAATGAAAATTATCCTAATTTACTAATAAATTAACCTAATAAATAATATATGTAAATAAAAAATAAAAAATTGAATTTGAAATTAATATAAAGTCTTACAATCTTCTGTTGTGTTTCCTGTGTTATTTGATTCTATTGTTGGTATAAATTTTTGTAAATTACTATTGTTAAAATTTTGTTTTTTACCTGAAAATTTAAAAAGAAAATATATATATATTTATTGCAATGCTTTAACAAATTAACATTTATCTGTTTTAATCTATTGTAATAATTTAGGACTTAAATTTGGGACCCAAAAAACTTGGGGCAGAATGGTCGTTTAAAAATTTTGAATGTTATCTATTCCCAAAATTAAAACTTTAAAATTAAAAAAAAAAAAAAAAAACAGAAAAAAGTATTAAACGATAAAAATATTAACTAATTAGGTAAAAAAACATATGAAAGAATTAATACTTACATTGATAATTCTCTTGTACATCAGTATCAGTGCCATTAGTTTCTAAAATTCAAAATAAAAAATAAAATTAATTTACAAAAATTTATGTAATTTATATAAAAATAAATAATTTCCTTCGACAAAAAATTTACTTTTTTTTTTTTTAAATATTTAACAGAATTTAAAATTAAAACTTTGACATTAAATTTAAACGTGATGCTGAATATTAATTTAATGTGTAATTTATTGAATAACTTAAGACTAATAAAAAATTTTATTAAAATTGCTTTTTTTTTTTTTTTTTAACTTTAAAAATAAAATTTATTGTCTTTATAAAAAAATTTTATTAAAAAATGCAATCATTATAAGACTTTTTTAGGACTTTTTTAAGTGAGTGATTTTTAAATACTAAAAAAAAAAAAAAAAATGAAAAAAAAAGCCGATAAAGTTTTTAACTGAAAATATCAAAATAACCTTATTTAATTTATTTTAATAAAAACAAATTAATTATTAATTATTATTTACCCATTTTATGATATAATGTTTACGTTAAATATTTAAATAAAAATTATATTAAAAAGAAAACAGTTTTGAAATTAATTATTAACTCAGATCAATATAAACATATCTATATTAATCACAGCCTTCAAAATTAAAAAAAAAAAATCGTTGGTAACATGAAATCGTTTCGCGCGAAACATAACCTAAAAATAACAAAATATTTAAAAGAAAATTATTATTTTTAAATTGTTACTCATTCTCCTTTTTTTGAATATTTCAGTTGAATTCTATCTGAACATTCTTTTTAAAATTGTCTTGCATTTAAAAAATGTTTTATCAAAAATTTTTCAATTTGAAATGTTTTAAATCAGGTTTTTATCCTTTATAACTCTTTGCGCTTTTATAATAATTACACAAATATATATTTTTAGAAAAGTTAACTTATCGGGGAGGGGGGAAACTGTGAAAAACAGGTACAGTTAAAATCTCTTTTCTTTTTTTTTTTTATTTAAATTAAAACTTTATTGTTAAAATAATTTATGAAATAAACTTAATATTATTATTAATTCATGTCAAGTCCATATCAACAACATTTAATTTACACATACAGATGAAATTTTTCTTTTTTTGTTTATCGTTAAATAAAATCTTATTTTGACGAAATAAATGCATTTATTTGAAAATGGTGTTAATTTTTTTTGAGCAATTTTTTTAATTCCTCATACTGAAACAAAAAAATTGTTTATTTAAATCGATAAATATTATTATTAGCATAATAGGATGGTCATTGAAATTTTCACATGTGTCAAAGTACTTGATAACAAAAAAAAAAAAAAATCATAAATACCTCATGTTCTTTTTGTAACTGTTCAGTAAGAAGATTATCAATAATATCTTGCAGTCTTTGTCTCAGTGCCATATTTTCAATATTTCCTATTTCGGTTTCTTGTTGTTGCCTCCTTGTTTTGAGATCTGTTAATTCTTTTCCTAATGCTTCCATTCTTTCTTTGATTGCTTCTTTTGAACTTGAATCATCATTTTTATTATCCTCTTCATTTTTAAATTCAAAATTATCTGTTTTTATGTAATCCATAACATCATAATTATAATTATTTTGTTCATCTTTAATGTTTCTAGAATCTTTAAACATGTCTTTGCTAAATTCTGTGACAAATTGTTGATTATTGGCATTATTTTGTGCCAGACCCTGAGAAACTGTATCAGACAAACGACTATCATCAGCAGATAGCCTGCTTGTATCTTCTATTTCCATTATATTAATATTTGTTTCTTCTTCGCTATCGGAAACAGTGCTACCAAATATTTCTTGTTCGGCTGGAAAAAAAAAAATTTTTTTTAATGATAATTTTAAAGATTTCATAGAGTAAAAAAAAAAAAAAGAAAAAAAAAAATTGTTTTTCTGTACCTAAATCAACACTTTGTTTGGGTGGTTTTTCGTCAGGTTCCTGTTTGACATCCTTAGCCTGAGGTTCATTTGTTGTTTCCGTTTCTTCTTTAACAGCTGTTTTATTCTTTTCGTCTTCTTCATTAATAACTTCCCATTTAACATTAACAGCTTCATTATCGACCCTCAGCAACCTTTTTACTTCTTTCTCAATTTCTGGAGCTTCCACATACTTTTTTTTCAGCGTTTTTCTAAACCTTCTCTTCCTGACATTTTTCATAGGGGGAGTTAACCCGTGAGGATATAAATATTTTTTTTCAACTCTATTTGGGTCTTTTTTTTTAGCTTTGCTATTAACTTCATCATCTGTAGTCGTTTGATCATCATCTTCTTTGCATAAAAGCATTTGACATATATCGGCAGTCTTGTAAAATGTTTTATTATCAATAGTTTTTAACGATTCTATTATTGTAGGATAATCGACAACTTTTGCATGTAGCAACATGTGATCTAATCTAACTTCACCAGTTCTCATATCATTTTCAATTGTTATACTTAATCTATCTTTTAAATTATTAGCACCGCTTTGAATAAGTTCTCTCAATATTTTTGCCGGCTCCTAGTCGAACAATATAACATTTTATAATTATAATAATAAATAAAATAATCTGCAGACTTTCTTAATTACTTAAATACAAACTTACAGGAGGTAATCTAAGAATGAATTGACTTTCTAATTCTGGAGGTGCTTCTCCTTCTCTTTTAGGATCATTAGATCGATTCATATTAATTAAAGTTAACTAAAATTAAAATATTATTAATAAATTTAATCCCGAGAAATAAGGTTTTAAAAAAAAGCATTTTATTAATACCTACGAACGATTTGATATAAATAAATGCATTAAATTATTATCAAAAAACTCGATTTAAAAAAAAACATCGAAACCGTTAAAATAAATTATTATTATTATTATTTATAAAAATCAATAAAATTTTATTTATTTAAATATTTATTAAAGGTAGTATACATTAATTAAATTAAACAATTAAACAAATTAAACTTTATAAAATAATTTTTTATTTATTCGTAATCCCAACTGATTTCATAATTCACGACGGAGACATTTTTTTTTTTTTTTTTTTTGAAAATTTAAGTTGGCCAACCTGTACGTAACGTGTATTAAGATAAAAAAAATATTTATATTTAATGTGACGGGTAAAATATGATAATTTAAGGTATTTTTTTTTACAATTTTTTTAGGTACGAAATGGATGTTATCAATAATAAAACGTTAAATACTCAAAAGACATTTTTTTATTCGAATAAATAAAATGTTATTATTTAATTACACATAAATTACTTAATTTTAATATATATATAAATAATTACAATGTGGAAGTGTGCATCTAAATGCGTAATAGCAACCTTTAATAAAAATTTCTCATTTCGTGGTAATAATAATAATAATATTATCCTACCTAATAAATTATCCGATGATAATAAACAATGTTCCCTATTGAAATTCACTCCCATAATCATCGAAAGGTTCAATAGATATTACGGTTGGTATAAATGTGGTAAATATTCAAAGGGAAATAAAGGAAAACACGGTCCGAAAGAAAAAAAGAAAACATTTTTAGGAAATTTTGATAATAACGTATTCGACGCTTTAACTTGGGTACGTTTTCTCATTATTATTATTATTGTAAACATTTTCGAATGATCGACATTGTTTTAATCTTTTTCTTTTCTGTCTTTTAGAGCAGCGTTTTTGCTTTGGGTTATTATTTTTTACAACCGTTTAAAAAAAAATCATTAACAAATGGTCTTACTAATTATTCATTCGATAATGATTACAATGATTCTTCTCTATCCGGATACAAAGCAACACTTCATCATTTGATTTTTTCATCAATTCAACTCAAACCATTCAATTATGTTTTACCTGAACTTGATAATTCCGATAGGTTAACAATTGATAATGATAATAAATCGAATAAAAAAAATAAATTTTCACATGATAAAAAACAAGTAAGTGTCTTTTTTTATGATCCGATTTGATTCTTATTATTATTGATTATTCAAGGTCAATGATATTGTTATTTTTAGTCAACTGGTGAGGATTTGAACGTTTTGGAAAAAGCTCATCGAAAAGTTATCGGAACTATAAACAATTGGTTGGGTTTACAACACATGGAATGTGGTAACTTTAAACAAGCTCTGGAATTTTTCATACAATCTGCAGATGAAGAAAATCCATCCGGAACGTTCAATTTGGGAATATGTCACGAAAGGGGTTTGGGTACTAGTCAAAATTATAAAAAAGTAATTTGATTCGTTACATCGATTAATCCCATCATATTAAACTCTCAAAAATTAAACTCTGACGTCATTTTCTTCTTTTAGGCAGCTTCTCTGTATCAGAGAGCGACTGATCTCGGTCATGCTTCCGCCATGTATAATTTAGGCGTATTTTACGCTCGTGGTTTGGGTGGATTCGAACCTGACGTGGATCGTGCGAGACAACTTTTCAAATCTGCTGCACGATTGGGTCAAAAAGAAGCCGTTAAAGCTTTAATACTAGAAAAAGAATCAATACAAAAATCAAACGATGATGGTGCTAACGATGATGCTAATGATAACGATTCGAAATCCGTTAAGGATGAAAATCTACAATCACATTTCCGGTTTCCCTCATCTAACTCTACCGGAAATCCTCTCAATTCGACCGTTGAAAATCTTTTGACTGATTTAAATGTAAAAACCGAAGAAAGGGAAAATTCATTTGTTTGCCGCCATGATGAATTCACGTCGGATTCGTCGTCTTACGACAACAACGACAGCGGAATATTAGATTTGTCCCCTCAATCCGAACCTGAATCTTTATTCGTTTGAAAAATCCTCAACCTCGTTGAACCTACAGTGATTGTTTGTCATATTATATTTGTTTACATACATAAATTATTATTTTTATGCCGTGACTAGAACACATAATATGTATATTAAATATCATCATTAATTTTTATACAATTAATAAAAAATCGTTTAAATTGTGAAAAGATTTTTGGTTTTTTTTTTTTTTTTTCATTCGACGTTTAAGCTAATAACGAAAAAAATTATTGCACTTGATAAAATTTTAGTAAGCGATTAGGCAAAAGACTAGGTCGATAGGAAAAACGGTAACTACTACTACTACTACTACTAAATCACCGCCCTCTCCAAGAAAAAGCGTAAAAAAAAAATAAATATCGATATATCGATCGATTCATCGATTGACGAGATGAAAAGAATTACAAATTCTTACCGTTTCTCTTATTAATTTAAAAAAACAATTTTCCATTCCAGAAAAATCGACAGTTTTTCTTCTTCTTTGGTTTGTTAAATAATAATAATAATAATAAGTGTTAAATATTTACCCTGCGTAAAAAGCTGACGACTAACTAATTCATCAAATGGCGGATTTTCATCATTTTATGGCGGGTCTCAAAGATTTCGGTCTCGGTACAGCCGAAAATGGTCTCGCTATTGTGTGACACGTTTTCGGTCTCCTTATCTGTTTAGCAGAATTAAATATGTGTTCGGAATTGTAGGAAAGGTAAACGTGTGATAAATCCGGTTGATGAGACTGTAAAAGAAAAGAAGAAACAAAAAAAGGATGAATTCTCTTCCAGACTTCTTCCTGTTTGTCTTTCCTATTAATATTTTTCACCTCTCACCTCGTGACCGTGAATGGACGTTGTAAGAGCCTGTTGTTTTTTCATATTGTTTCCGGTATATGCGATACATTTCAATTGCCATTCTCCGATATCTTCGTTCCATTGTACGTATCTCTCTATCATGGCCTATGGGGAAAATAAAATAAAATTTTCCAATTTGTTTCTTTCTATCTTTATCTCTCTCTCTCTCGGTAAAATTCATATTACTTGATATTCCAACGGTATATAACTGTTCAATATCAAATCGTGTAATTGTATTTCTCTATTTAATGCTCTTATGCCATCCCATAAACCTTCTTTTTCCCTTTGATGTTCCTGATTCAAATCGTTACACTCGGCTTTGACCAACATCAACATTTGACTTATTTTTTTCAACTTTTTCGTTTTTCCAGATGCTTCTTCTTGTAGTGACGAATACCTTTCTTCAATGTCGATTCTTTCAGCCTGTGAAATAATTTCAGAATCAAAATATAAAATTTTCAATGGCGGACAAAAAATTTTCTTGACATTTTTACTTCTTTTTCTTGCAATGCTTGTTTCAATTGCGCTTCTTCTTTTCGACGTTGTTCGAGTTCGTTAGCAGACGTTTCCAACAATTTCTCTTGTGCTTCTGCTTTTTCCAATAAATTTTCACCGCCCAACAATACTTTCTTTTCTAAACTTTCTAATTTTTCTTTTAAATTGCTTTTCAATTGCCTTTTTTCCGCGTAAAAAAGAAAATTAATAATAATAATAATAAGAGAAAAAAATCATTTTCCATCGAGTTCGAAACTCACTGTGCTTTTAATATTTCTAATTTTTTCTTTTCCACCAACGCTTGTCGTTTTTCATTTTCCATTTCTTTTTTCTTCTGCTTTTCCGAATCTTCTTTTTCTGCTTTTTCATCTTGCGTTCCATCGCTGCCATCATCGTCATCGACTTCTTCCTCTTCTTCTGAACCGCTAGATATGGCTAGCAAGAGGACAAACACAATTATTTACATAAACATAATTAATACGGTAAAAACAACCATTTTGTTTGTTTGTTTGTTTACCATCGTCGCAACCTTCCAATTTTTTTTTCAATTCTTCTATTTCGTTTTGAAATTGTCGTAGTAGAGCATCTTTAGGATCTTCGTTAATTTTCGCACGATTCTTAATACTTTTTGCTCTCGTCGCATACCTCAGAGTACTTATAGTTTCGTCGTAATTATAATTAGCCGGACCGATATTTGCACACTGTTACGTAATAATTTTCATTATTATTATTATCATTAAAGAAAAAGGGGGAAGGGGGAAAAAAAAACAATGTAAAACAAACCATGACGGTTTTTGAATTTCCACCAAGTGAATCTTGCAAAAGTCTTGTCAATTTAGAATTCCTATATGGAATGTGTGTGCTTTTACCATCTACTAAAGCTGATATCACATTACCAAGTGTCGACAATGATAAATTTATTTTAGTCGCTTCTTTAAGTCTTATACCGACTGAACCGGTTTTACTTTGCCTTTCTGAACCCTAGGAAAATAATTACTCAACATGTTAATCATTCTATCATTATTATTATTATTATTCTGTGCATAAACAAATGAATATGACTTACAGCAAGATCGACTAAATGTAATTTTCCCATTTTTAAATGTGTGCAACCATCGCCATCATCTTTACTCGATTCTACGGTGATTGTAAAAATTGCATGAGATCTAGAACTTTCCTTATTCATAGCAGTCGATCCGATGATTCCTGAAAAATTAAATTTTTTTTAAAATGTACCACAGGAAAAAACGGGAAAAAAATATTAATAATAATAATAATAATAAACTAACTGTTTTTACTCCCCAAATCCATAATCGATTCCATATCGTCTGCATTATTAACAACATAACTTGATAAATCTTTAACATAAACACCTATATCAGGTCTTTCTTTAACTTCGAGACAATTATTAACATCTTTTATTAACAAATCTCTAACTTCTTCATTATATATTTCCAAATAAGATACCCTAACTAAAAACCTTAAAATTAATAATAATTAATAATATTAATTAAATCAGTCATCAGGTTTAGTGTAAAATCTCAAAGAGAAAAAATCATTCTTACTTCATATTATCTTCTGCTTTGGCTATAAAACCAAATATGTGTGCAAACGAATTTGGAATGATACCTCTTAATTCTGGTTTCGAATTGATTCCTTCCATCGTGTACGTTTTACCGGTACCCGTTTGTCCGTATGCAAATATTGTACCATTATAACCCGCGAGTACTTTTTCAACTATCGGTCGTGCCGTTTCGTTATAAACTTCGACTTGCGTTGATTCCGTACCGAAAACGGCATCGAATGTAAATACTTTTGGTAATTCTTCGGTTGTAGATTTTGGATTTGTTACCGATACCGTATTGCTTACTCTGTCAGCTTTGACTATTTCCCGATAACCAGAAGTCACTTCGAATTCATTCAATGGTCGAACTCTTAAAACGACTTTAACATTTTCTATTTCGCATCCTTCGCGACATTTTGAATCTCCCCTCTCGATTCCATCATTTCCCATTTCTTCTCTTTTAACATCCATTAAAATTAAAATTAAATTTTTTTTAAAAATATTAATAATAATAATAATAATAATAATACTCTACGTCAAAAAATAATAATAATAATAATAATAATTTTTGAATAAAGTTGGCAATAACTCTGTTATCAAATGAACAACAGTAATTGCCAACTTAATTTTTTTTTAAATATAAACAAACAAATCGTTACGATCGTAATATTATTCTTATCAATTGATGATAATAATATTGATAATAATAATGATAATAAATACGTAATACTTGTTTTTTTTTAATTTAAAAAAAAAAATGCAGTTTTATTCACATAAAAAAAACCTACATCATTACAAAAAAAATGATAATAATAATAATAAAAGATACATCGTCGACAATATAATCAATCCGCGTATAATAAGTTATTAAAAATAAATCGTTATATAAAAATATATATTATAAAATACATTCGTAAAAATATTTTTTATAATAATAATAATAAATATTTAAAAAAATACTAGTGGAGTGTCAAATGCAGATATGAATGTAAATAAATATATAAATTTTAATGTTAATAGAAAAAAAAATATCGATTACGAATTTTCTTTTTCTCTTTTTTTTGAACCGAGAAAACGTTTTAAAAAACGTTGTAAATGCATTTAATTATTATAACGAGAGTATTTAATTGAAAAAAATTTTAAAAAAATTATTAATGAAGATTAAACCAAGAGTAAAATGAATACTGAACTTTTTTTTATACATGTAAAAATATCACAGTAGAGTATATCCATTTTCTTTTCTCCCCCGCCTCCCCTCTGCCTCCCTCTTTAAATCTCACGAGATTTGACTCCTATAGAGAGAAAACCACGGCCATATTAATACTACGGCTCCTGTCAAATAAGTCACGGATGATCCGACGCTCCAAAATGCTATAAGAAACAAAATAAAATGACGTCATAGTAGGTAAAAAAAAAAAAAAAAGGTTAAAGTTTAAAAAAAAAATAGAATGATAACCTGTTGATGCTAAAATTGGTCCGATGGCTCTTGCTAAAGCACCCAACGATCGAAATATTCCTAAAATTGTACCTTTTTGATCTTCCGGACCAAATTTTGAAGCTAATGTTGTCATGCAAGAAACGACCATTGCGGTGGCTACACAAAACCAAAAACAAATCCAATAAATTTGTTTTTCGAAAAAAAAAAAAAAATGGCAGTTCATAATTAAAACGCTTACATATAGCAAAAAATAATAAACCCAATATGAGTAAATTCGACGTCGTCGCTAATCCGATTAAAACAAATGAAGGTATTATGAGTAAAAGTCCGAGTGTTGCCACGGGTTTTATTTTATCATGTGGTAATTTTCTAACCCATGAACTTTGTAAAATTGCCATAATCAATCCGATACCGAAAAACATCCAACCCTGTTCCATGGATGTGTATTGAAAAGTGTGATGAGTGAGAAACGTCAAAGTAAATTCTAATCCGCTGTAAAAAACAATTAATGATGACGTCAAACATTCGAAACATTAAATTCAGGTTAAATATCGAATAGAGATACCTGTACACGAGAAGGTACACGAAATAAATAAATCCTAAATTTTGTAGCGAATTCAAATCTTTTTTATTTATGTTTTTAACCGCTCGAAATTGAAAAATATCTTTAAAATTTATATAAGCCGTTGCTTGACTTAAACTTTTGGCAACGGATTTTGCACGTTTTTCCTACAAAAAATTTCATTTACGACAAGAAAATTTAAATAAATAAATTACCTCATATAAAATTATTAATTACCTTGGGTAAACTTTCTTTGAAGTAAAAAATAACAAATAAAAAATCAGCAAAACTTAATAGAAATGCAAATATAGCTGGAAAAACAAACCAATTTCCATGTTGACTGTGTGACCATTTGGCAAACAATGCACCGATTACAGGACCGATAATAAAACCGATGGAAAATGCAATTCCGATCAAAGCCTAACAAAATAAACATTTAAAAACAAAACCTTTGCAATAATCCATCGATAATAATAATGCACTCATAATAAAAGTAAATATATATGTATATACCATTCCTTTTCCTCTTGATGCTATCGATGATACATCGGCTATGATTGCCATAGACAGACTAACATTTCCTTTACTGATTCCACCAATTATTCTAGCAAGTATAAATATTGAGAAAGTTTTCGACAAGGCCCACAATATATATGAAAAACAAATTCCTCCCTGAACACAATCGAAAACAAAATTATTATTATTATTTTCCTTAATATTATGAAACGATTGCAATGCACTCGTTTCGACTCATAAAATATCTAGGTTATGTTATTAAAACTGTAAAATTGAGTCAACCTTAACGATGATTACCATTAATTAAATTCGTTTACTTTATCAAACGATTGCAAACTTTGAAAAATAGCGATTAAATATTTACCAGACATATTAGAAGAATCGGTTTCCTTCCGTAAACATCAGATAGTCCTCCGATTAATGGCGATACCAAAAATTGTAAAAATGAAAACATTGAACCCAAAAAACCGCCAAAGAGCACAGAATTGAATCTTTCTGGAGCTTGTAAAACTTGTTGAAAATATTTTATGCTTGATTCGAACCATTTGTAACAACCGTTTGGATCATCGTTAATCTTGTAATGATCTAGTAAAGATGGTAAAAGTGGTAAAATCATTGTAAATGCGAGTAAATCCATTAGTAAAGAACAAAAAACGATGAATATAGTTTTGTTCGTTTTATCAAAGATTAATTTGTTTTTTTTATTAACATTATCATCTTTCATCACAGATTTATTTTTCCTCATGTTGTTGTTCATTTCTTTATGTACAGGTTTTTTACTGATTGCCATTTCGAATAAAAAAATTAATCACAGGTACTTAATTCTTCTTTTAGGTATCTCTAAATGAAAAACATTATTTTTTATTTAATTTTTGTTTCAAATTGTCAATGTGACACGTAGAGAGAGAAAAAACAACTTACCCTGCAACAAAAGTTACATAATTATGTTTGTGTTTGTGTTTGTTTGTTGCTTCCAACTCCTGTTGAAAATTTTTTTGTATAAACAAAATGATTTTACGATTTTTTTTTTAAACTGAAAATAAATTAAATAATAAAAAAAAAAATTTTTTTTTTATTTAAAAATATCTATTAACGTCAAGTTCAAAGTCAAACAATTGACTGTAAAAAAAAAAAAAAAAAAAAAGAAAAGAAAGTGAAAATTATAAAAATTTCACTTTCACTTTCGATTTAATGTTTGTTTCCATTTTAAAAATCAAGTGTTGCCAACTTTACCCCGTTGTTGTACTAGCATAGCGATTAAAAACGGTTATTAAAATAATAATCGACGACAAATTTAATAAAATTTTTAATCCTTTTTTACAGGATTCGTTTTCGAATGAAATAGGATTTTTTTTTTTTTTAAATCGAATTCCGACAGGGAAAAACCGTTTTGAATCGACATTGTGTTGTTTTCCCCCCCGTTATATTGGCAACATCAATTACGGTTATAAAAATCGCGTTTCGGATAATAAATCATCAATTAACATTTTAAAAAAATCGAGTGTGTGTGTGTGTGTGTGTGTGTGTGTGTACATTTTAAATTATTTTCAATGGGGGGTCACCCACGTAATTGTCTTAATCAAGTTGTTTGTAACTTAAACATTTAATTGTTTTTTATTAAAATTATTTATACGAGATTAAAAAAATGTCGTCGCGTCTATGTGATCGTTTTTTAATAAGAATTAAAAATCTCACGACAATTAAGTTTTTTTTTTTTTTTTTTAATCCGTAAACAAAATCCTCGTGGATTTCGGCTGCATATATTTGTATAATAATTTAATCCTTTTTCGGTTTTTGCATTACAATTAATCAATAATAACAACAACAACGCCGCGTAAAACCCGAACGATCGTGATTTTAATTGTAAGAAAACAAACATCACCGATAAGCTAAAAATATGCGACCCATGTTTTCTTATGAGAAAAGTTTGAAAATTTCGTTCGTTCTTGACCGTTGCAAAAAAAAAAAAAATGGCGGATTTTAAAAATGAGACAATAAAAAAAAAAAAAAAAAAAAATTAAAATAAAGTCATTAAAAAAACCGAACCGAACGAAACTATACGGATGATGATGATGATGATGATGATGATGATGATGATGATAATGTTGATGATGATGATGATGATGATAAAAGAAGCTCGTAAATTAATTGATGTCTTTAATGGACTGACTCATTGAATACCATTTAAACTTGGCAATCGGCATCGTTAATCTACCACACATATAAAACTGGTTCCAACAATTCAAACATATTTTTTTTTTCTTTTTAATTTCGCCCCCTACTCTCCTGTCTTCTACCCTCCTTCCCCTCCCTTCTCTCTCTCTCTTTCTATTAATAATAATAATAAAAATTTTAAAAGCTTTAAAACAAAACCTTTGACTTTTACTTTTTTTTTTTTTTTTTTTTTTTTTAATAACAAAAACAATAATAATAATAATAATAATAATAATAATGATTTAAAACACTTAAAATTTTTGTTTTGGTTTTCGTATTAACGAATCGAAAACGACTAAACTCCCAAAAGAAAGAGAAACATCTGGAACAATCTTTCTCTCTCTCTCTCTCACTCAATACAATCGGTAACATAATGACAGTCATTAACCCGAGTTGACGTCCCTAACCCGAATTCTTTTTTCGATTCAAACGGCTTTCACTCCATTATTATTATTATTATTAATAATAATCGAACGTCGTTCTAGAATCACAATCGAAAAAAGAGGGAAAATTAACGACGGTTAGTTAATAAATAGTAATTTTTAATTAAATAAAAATTTTTACTAATGACACGACGCCAATTTTACGTAAAAAAAAAAAAAAAAAAACGCTGTTGGCGGTCGTCGTTTGTTTTGTTTTTTCCGACGTGTAAGCAACCATTTTGTTTTGTTTTGTTTTTTTTTTTTTTTTTTCACGCGACCGTGTCAGAAGAAAATGTAGAAAAGAAAGTCATTATTATTATTATTTACAAGACCGCATCCCATAAAATTTCATTTTAACGAGAAAAAACAAATTCATTCATTTTATTTTATTTTATTGTACGAATGGAAAACAAGCAGAAGATAAATAATTAATTATGCTAATTAGTAGTACGATCGTAAACAAAGCGACACCGTGTCCCCAATAATAATAATAATAATAATAATAATAATAATAATAATAATAATAATAATAATAATAATAATAATAATAATAATAATAATAATAATAATTAAACGGTTAAAAAAAAAAACAAAACTTTATTGTTGATAAATTTACCGTTTCGTTATTTATTAAAAAAAAAAAAAAAAAAAAAAAATGGAATTTCCATTACGACGACAACCGGAAATCGATCGTGTCCGGTCCCAAAGTAAAAATCCCCCCCTATAAATCCCCCTCCCTCTTCTCCTCTCCCCTACCCCTCCGAATTATTATTTATCCGGCATAAAACCTGGAACGGATGTTTTTAAAAGATTCCGACGACAAGTACAAGGCAAAAAAAAAACTCGTCGGTAATAAAATTTAAGATAATGATAATAATAATGATAACGAAGATGACGACGACGATGATAATGATGATTACGATGATGATGATGATGATGATAAAGTTCGACTTATTTTTTTTTTAAATAACCAATTAATTTGTAACATTTAATAAATAAAAAAAAAAAAATTTAATAATAATAATAATTTAATAAAAATCCGATTATAATTTATTAACATATTTTAATAATAATAATAATAATACTCTTATTAAAATAAAACAAGTTAAATAAAAATTATTATTTTATTTTATTTTATTACGTATTAACTACTTGTGTGCGGTCTGTGAAATTTACTTATTAACTTGTTTCCCCCCTCCTTTTCCCCCCTTCCCCTCCCACCCGATTCAAATCTTATTTATATATGCGTTTCTCATACTTTAATAACTTATTTATTTATAACAAATAATAATCGTTCGTTCGTTACATTATCGTAATAATAATAATAATACACGAAATCAAATTACATAAAATTAATTTCTCCCCCCCCCCCCCCATTTGGCAGCAAAAAATTTGTTTTTTTTTTTTTTTTTTGTTAAAGGAGAAATAAAAACACCGAATTTATTAATAATAATAATAATAATAATAATAATAATAATAATGATAATAATAATGATAATGATAATAATGATAATGATAATGATAATAATAATAATAATTTCAAGATCCAGTTTTAAGTTAGTGACAATTGTATTTCGACGACGTTAAATGATGAATTAGTTTTTTTTATTATTATTATTACACATAAGTTAAATATGTAAAAATTTAACCCGAGGTAAAATCAACTTTCACCGAGTAATATATATATACATATATATTTATTACAAAAGTTTTAAAGTTTTGCAACGGTAGAAATAAATAAATATATTGATCGAATATCGATTTATTTATTTGTAATATCGATCGGGTTTAAAAAAAGAAACAAAATTTAAATTATTTAACGGATGCAGACGAATGGACCACACACACACACAATCACATAGAGTGTAATTAATTAATAATGATAATAATGATAATAAAGGTAAATTAGTTATTTTTACTCTATGACAACAACAACAACAACAACAATAGACAAAAGGTCAATTTTCGATCGTTTTTTGTATTTTAATTGGATCCAATTTAATTTAATTTAATATCAATTATTTTTAAATTCATTGATTTTTTCCATAGTAAATATATATATATATAAAACTTGGATCGTTTATTATTAACCATAAAAAAAAAAAAACGACGACGACGACGATGATGATGATGATGATGATGATGATAATGATAGTTTTTTTACATTTGATTGTCGTTTATCGTATTGTAATAGGTATTTTAACAGAGAGAGAGAGAGAGAGAGAGAAAATCTGATTTACGATTCTTTTTTTTTATACATTTTCCCATTCGAATTAATTACGTGTGACGTAAATAAGGATAGGCAATAGTTAATAAGCGAGTGTATTTCTTTTGCAGTATCATAAATTTGAAGGCGTAAAAAATACAATAAATAATAATAACACGTTTAAATTAATAATAATAATAGTAATCAATCAATCAATCAAACCCAATCGATTAATGACGCGTTTAAGTAAATTTTAATAATAATAATAATAATAATAATAATAATAATACAGTTTTACGTTAAAATTTTATAAATATCACACACACACACACACACACTACTAAAAAATTTAAATATATAGAAAGATCTGGAAAAAAAACAATTAACACTCCACACGCACGCACGACACGCATGATGATGATGATGATGATGATGATGGTGGTGATGGTGATGATGATAATGATAATCACACATATACGAAATAATATTAACCTTAGGTTGAAATATATCATTTGGTTTTTCGATCCATTAATCTGTCATAGAAAGAAAAAGGTTCGTTAAATGTTAGACAGATGAAACCTCGCCCCCTCCTCACCCCCACCTCCTCCCCTCCTCCTCGAACTTCATCCTCAATAATTAAACGCAATTAACAGAAAAAAAAAAAAAAAAAAATTTATTTTTTAAATAGCAGAAGATAAACGTGGGCGTCATTTTAAAATAAATTAATCAATCGATATCGAGAACCCTCCAAAAAATATTAATTGATTACCCAATCGATTAAAAAAAAAAAAATTGCAAACAAACAAACAAACTCCAAATATTAAAATAATAATAATAATAGGTACGTTAGGTAACGTAGAATAATATTTGGAAAAATTTTTTAAACGATTAATCATAATTAAAAAAAAAAAAAAAAATTAATTAAAAAATAATTAAAAACTAAATAAC